TGGAAGACAAGATTACGTTAGTACATGTAATTTAGTATTCACAGGAATACTCATGGGGAGAGGTAAATATATACATATATAACATGAACATTTACATACTATATCTAGGTGATTTCACCATTAATATGAACCCAAAATATTTATTTATAATTTATCATTATAGCACCCATGTCCTCCAAAATCTTTAATTTAAAATTTTAAAATGAATTTACTTAAGTGGTTATCTAAATGCCATTGCATTTGATATGTATTTCAGTACATAGGAAACAGCCTTGTTCCTATGTTTACTTACAAAGAACTTTATCCACAGCTGTAGTGACAGCTTCATTAACCTCACCCAAAATAAACAAACTGCTCTTCAGTTCCCTCATTCCCTGCAACTGTGGGAGCCACAAACATGGGACCTGTCCTGCAGCATCAGGCTGCTTCAAGAACAAGGTTCCCTGATGATTTACACAGACCACAATGACAAGCAGAGAGGCATGACTCACCTCGGAATTAAACCATTATAAGTAACTTGTCAGGGACGCCTTTACACTCGGAAGAGCCTTTCTCTGTTAAAACTTTAACAAGAATCTGGTTATGTTGTGAAATGAAACACCCACTCACTTTCCACATCTCTCTGCTCTCCTGAGCCAAATTTTAACATAAATGGGCAAATTAAATGCAGCCTATCGCTTACCTAACATAATTATATGTTGTATTTTACACTGATTCCAAATGGATACATTAAAATAATCCAGCGTTGGCTCCCACCCACTACAGTCCGCAAAGGTTATAAAGCCCAATGGCCTTGCACAGCGCCTGCTACAGTAGCACCAGGGGTTGTTGGGACAGGAAATGGCACAGAACACAGAGGATGAGCAGGAGTCACTCTCTCCCCCAAAAGGAAAAGCAACAACAGAATGCATGAAGAAATCCCCGCAGTCCATAAATCATCAGCTTTTCTCAGAGTGCTTCCTCGGGATGCTTGTCTGGAATAATTCCACTGGATTGTACCAAGTGGAGGATTTTAAGGTCAAAAGGAAATGAATAAATGTCATCAATTTAGAGGACTTCACACACAGCATTCTTTTCAGTCTCACCGTGAATTTGATAGTGTTAAAACATTTTTATAGGTAAAATAAATGTCAGTTTTGCAAAGAGCGATACCAGCCCCTGGGAGACAAACGGCTATCCACTGGATCTCAGGCCACAGCATGACTTCGTTGCCTCCCAGGAGACCTCAGCTTTTCATACTCCTCTTTAGGCAAGAAAAGCTCGCACGGTTTCTTTCCAATGATAACTCTCCTATCCCGAAGAGTCTCCTCATAATATGATAATCTTGCATGAGAGGTAGTGGGTTGGTTGAAAAAACTGAAATACAAATATGCGACTAGTGCTAAGTGTTAGAAGACTTCTGGAGTGGAGAGTAAGAGGGCAAGAAAGGCTTGCCCGTGCTGCAAAGGGTCAGGCTGCTCCGGGTTCAATGCTCAGCAAATCCACAAAGTAATAATCTGGGGAGACGTGATGTTTTATCAGAATGACATTCAAATAGAAGGTTTTACATTTACATCGCAAGAGCAAGCATGGAGTAAAACTGTCCTCCAGGAAAGAATGGCAGGACAAACAGTGTGCCAGAGTGTGCCGGCTGGGACAGGCAGTGGGCAGCAAAGGCCAGGGGAATTTATGTACAGCTGACTAAACTTTCTGAAATATGTGGCTGGTTATAACATGTGCAGCAATTACCACTAATGGAAGAATAGCTATTTCAAAATTCATTTTCCATTCTCCTCTAGGCTTCTGGAGACTGCCCCTCCCATCCACATGAGAAAAAGGACAGAAAGACAGAGAGAAATGACACTTGCCTCTCCCTGGTACAAGGACCATCAAAGGCTGCTTTACTCTTAACAAAAGGGGGAAATTACGGCATGCAGGGCCCAAAGTTGCAGGTCTTATTTTTTTTCCATTGAAAAAGATGTAAGATACACTATAGAACAGACAAAATGCATTGATCAAAGACATCTTTCCACACACTCCTATGACTCCATAACTGGTGTTTTTAAACAGAAAGATAACAAAGAATCGCTTGTCTGAAATCAGAATAATTTGGAGTAATATATTCCCTGGAAGAAAAGTCTGAACATTCAGAAATGCCCTTTCGATTAGCTTAATTCCACAGAATCTAAATGTGTACCAAACACTGCACTTTTGATATGAAATTGCTGTTGAATTTGTGAACCCACAACTGATTTCCTGTGTTACAGAATCTTGGAGATTACAGTTAACTTGAAGCAACAGGGATAATTCTTGGCAGTTAATGGGACATTCATATGCATTTTCCTGAAAGGCAGCATCTTGGGACTTCCAACTGGCAGCTCAACATTGCCCCCTACTGCTTACAACTTTAAGAAAAAAAAGCTGGAGAAGGGTTGACAGCCAGACTCCCACAGGCCAATGTCTATTTCAACCTCACATTCAAATTCCACATGTCACTGCACTAGAGCCACCTAGCCAGGGACTCTTTCTAAGATTATTCTCTGATGTGTCTTCCAATAGCAAAAACAACTTATCACAAGCTTATTAGAAATCATTTTTAAAGGCCCAAAGCAATGCTTCAACTTAATTTAGAGGGACCATCCATTTTATCTCAGCCCAAACCTTCACTCTGAGAATAATGATCCAACTATGGTATTCAGGAGAGACACTGAACCACTGAATTTTTTTTTTCAGCAAAGCTAAAGAATGTTCTGCCAAGTGCAAAGAACCGTGCTCTGGAAAATTACCTGGATTGCTACTCCTTTTAGTCTTTTTTTTTTTTTCTGTGTGAATAGAAGATACTTCCTTTAAACTAATGTGCCACTACTACCAAATGTGTATATACACATATGGAGACACTGGCGTACGTCTACACACACATGTACCAAATGTGTGTATACACATATGGAGACACTGGCGTGCATCCACACTCATATCTTTTCAATGAATTAATAATGAACATCACTGGTGTGATCAGAATACTAAAAATTTCACTTAGGGGGAAAATACTCCTAAATGAAAGCAATAATTTTTTAAAAAGTATTATTTTACAAAATTACTGAGTTCTTTTCTTATTTGTTTCTAAATCTTACCTTACAACTTGATTTCAAAGTCAGGCTGATGTCTAAGAATTAGGCCTCAGCAAACAGAATTCTAAGTATATATGTAAAATGGGCAATATCTGAATTTCTGTGCACATCCTATAAAAACAGCATTCTCTCCCTAAGACTGAACAGAAATAGCCAGTCAGAGAAGGACTCTTCACCTCCAACCTGACAATACAATGCTCTGTTTTGTACTAACTTGGGGCTTTGGGGGAAAATCTATCTTTGAGTCTGTTAATATATTAAAAGGGTAATCGTATTCCTTTCCCAGACACTGATCCTTCCAAAGGATCTCAGAGATACCCATTCTGATCCACGTTCTTAAGTTGAGGCCTTCATATTTGTAACTTGCTATTTTCATTATTATAAAATAGGGATCAAAACAACAACACTAAATTGTTAGACCGAGTGGATTCCTTTGGAGGTGACAGGCAGGTTTCAGTGTGGGCTATTTCTATGGCTTCACAGGTGTACATTTATCTCTTAACTCATCAAGTCGTATGCATATGCTTGTCTAGCTTCCTGTATGTCAACCATAAGTTCATAGAACTGTCTAAAAACATTATGTGTGGGGACTGGCGATCACTGTGCACCCAGCAGATGAGCTCACTGCTCTCAGCACACTCCAAATCTGCGAAGTGGCACTCTCCAGAGGTCATCAGGCTTTTATCGCCTTTCCTCTGCATTCCAAATAAGTGTTTGGAGTCAGATCAGTGAGTGGATAAAGGGCAAGAGGCCTAGAGCAAGCCTTCTAGAGTTCAAATCCCAGCTCTCCCACCAACGAGCTGGTGACCTTGTAAAGTTACATAAGGCCTTTGAGCTCCTATCTCCTCATATATAAAAGTGAGGCAAAAGTCAAACCTATCCCACAGGGTCATCATGAACATTAAGTGACAGCAATCTTTAGTACTCATAAAAATGCTAGCAAGCATTTAGTGTTGTTATTGTTATCCAAGTTGAGGCTTATCAAGTGGCTTCCATTTGCCATCTAGCTGACGCTCATGTTCTACATACCACAAATGCCCTATTTCTGATTTTGTTTTCACACTTGCAAAACCTAATGTTCCTCCCCAGATAGCCTACCCCATCTCCTCTTCTCCACATGGGCCTCTAAGCAGACCAGCACCTTCCTAACAGTCCTGGAAGAAATGACCTGCACCTGACACTGATGTGAACCATGGGGAGTGTGTAGAGGTCAGAGGATGACCTACAAGTCCATTTTCTCCGCCCACGACGTGGGCTCCCCAAGATAGAGCCCAGGTTGCCAGGTTCGGTGGCAACTGTCTGTACATTCTGGGTCATCCTGCCAGCCCATGATTTTTATTTATTTACTTATTTTTATGTCCTACTGCATGGTTTTATTTTAGCCACAGCAACATGTGGTGGCATCCACATTTCTCTCCTTCCTAAACTGCTAGGTTATGCAGACTAAACGCACACACTCTGTAGCTTGTACTTCCGTCTCAATCGGCTACTTAGTGGCCTTGGACAAGCACCTAATTTCTCCATACTCAGATTTCCCATCTAAACAAGTTAGGGCTCACAACTCCGTCTATGTCAACTGCTGTAGGAAGACCCCTTGAATAATGGCTGGAGCATAAACAGAAACGAGCACTGGAGACTGCTGTTGCCCTGTTCTCACGCTGACTCACAGCTCACGTCTAGCAGAGTGCCTTCTGTGGAGAATATCTGAAATGTTTCCGGAAATGAGCTGAGGCTTCAGTGACAAAATTGCAGGCTGCTCCCATTACCTTACGGGAAGTAACCTAACACACTCACGTGGATTGATAACATATACATTTGCCTGTGACGATTAGACAGCTGAAGATTTGCACAGTGCAGTGCCCCAGAAAATGTGGTCGGACCTCATGCACTTACCACATTCTCCATCTTCTTCCACAGCCCCTCCAGCTGAGTCATGGGTTCACACCACCAATCAGTGCAAATTCTGTTTCGATTTCCTTGAAACCAGAACTGTCTCAGCCACTCAAACTCGACCTGTGAACCAGAACAAGAAGGTGGTGATTAGAATGTCCTTGTGCTAGACCAACAAGGACAATGACTTCCCCACTTAAGTCTCCTTTGGCAACTTCATAGACAGGGGGCCAGAAAGGTGAGAAAAGCCTGGCCTGACTATTTCCCAACACACCCTGGTACCTCCAGAGCATTCTGAAAGCTAAGGAAATGGAAGTCTTAGAGTTGAGGTCCTGCTAGGATGACAGTCCAGGCCAGGTTACATGTTTTAGGCAGATACAGCAAACATTCAGATCCTGCAGTACAAGCAGCTTCCGCTGTGAACAACACAAGGTCATAACCAAACAATTAGACATTTTTAGTAAAAGCTAAGAAGGCAATGACACAGACATTTATTAAGAGTATATGTATCAATTTCTTAGAATGAAAAGAACTTACCCAAGGGGCCAGGAAGAGCTGGTGATAATCTTAGCCACATAAGCAAACAATATATAATTAGTTATAGAGGCATTTAACCTCCTACACAGCCATTAAGGTTCTCACTTGTTGGTTCAATAAGGACGATTGCAATAGGCAAATAGTAGCAAAGATAGAAGGTACTTTTCTGAGAAATTGCTAGCCTGTTTGTGTTGACCACCTAGAGGCATTGCTCCTACCCACAGAATGGACACAAAGCTCCAATCACCATTCCTTCTTCAGGACCAGTCCTGTGGTATAGGTAGAGCTAATGGCAGAAATGGAAAGCCAGGGTTAAGCCAAACATCCCAAATCCTCCATTTCCGGATTTTGGAAAAATAGGTCTCAAGACCAGAAAAACACAAGAAGAAGCCTGTAGATATTTTGCTGTCAAACTGGAGCCAGCATGGCAAGAAGTGACTATGAGGTCCTGGAGATGGCCACTAACTAACTGGATGGACTATCTCCAAAGCCCCTTTCCACTCAAGCTGGCTCAGGGTTAGTTGACTGGGTCTTGCAATGGGAACAATCTCAACATATTGAGAGTCTGATCAGCACAGACAAGTCTTCTACAGCCTGTCTCCCACTTGAACATCAGATGCTACCATCAAGGGAGAACTCCATCTCACCCCCAAACTCCTTTTATTTTTGCAACGAGCCAAGCACCATGCCATGGTGTCTGCTTTGCAGAGTGATTACATTCCACATACAGAGCTGAGCTATTGCCACCATCACCTGTGACCACAGAGGACTGCAGGTTGTTTCTCCACACTGAACTTTCAAGAAGCAAACAAAAAGCAACTTATGAAGATTAACAATGGTGAAAAAGGCTCAAGTAAGAAACTGGAGAAGACCTAGTCTAACGAAAGGTTTTTGGTTTACATTAAATAAACGTTTGTTTGATGTGTAGAACTGATTTCAGCTAAAGCTGTTTAAACAAAACAAAATAAAGCAGGAATGTGGGTGACATTAAGACAGTTGCGAAGCCTTATCTGTGGCATTAAAAGACAGTGGTTGACAGGAGGTAAATCTGAGTACTTTGAAAGGAGAATGAACATGGCCACAGTTCAACTTCAGGGAAGATCCAGGTTTAGCAATACATTTACTACAAGAAAAAAACCAAGAGAGCCTCTTAATGGGTTTCTCATGAAATTGTTTGTGCTGATAGAGCAGTCTCACAGCAAAGCCTGAAGTTAGGGAGAGGTAAAATGGTTCCTGACAGCTTTTCTATCTTTGGGCCAGTTATTTCCACCGAAAAGGACAACACTTGGAAGCCCTGACCACTCTGGTACAAGACATGCAACAAGTCTATCAACCTATCAGGGCACAGGAGTCAGCCCTTTTGTGACGGAGCACTCGGAAGCAGGAGGAGGGCATATGGGGGACTCTGTCATACAGCAAGAAAGAAATGCAGAGCCGCAGCCATGCTAACAAACAAAAGCTTCTCTCTTCCTCCTCAGCAACCTCAGTACCTTGGCTCAGAGGGTAAGGGTGCTTGTCTCCAGGGCCATTGCCCGGAGTTTGAGCCCTGGAGCCCATAAGGTAGAATGAGTGAACTGGCTCCTCTAGCTTGCCCATGCACACTATGCAGTAAGCCCTTCCGAGTCCCAGTGATAAGACAAATGCAACTTCTGTGTTTAAAGAATCAGGGTTCTGGATGTTCGGGGAAGATAGAAAACTAGAAACTGCCTCCTTGTAATGAATAAATTCCCAGCATATATGACCTACCAAAATTAAGTCAAGACATCAGACAACTTAAATCCACAAAAAGCAACAGGACTGATGAATTAACAAAAGTGCCCCAGAACCAGATGAATTAATTCCCTAGGAAGAGCCAATACCAGTGCTCCTTAAAATGCTTCATAAAACAGACATGGAAGGCAGGCAAGCAAACATAGTGGACAAAGCCAGTGTTACCACAATCTCAAAACCAGAGAAGAACAGCAACAAAGGGCTAGAAGCCAAATTCACTTATGAACACAGACATAGAATTTCTTAACAAGATCTTTACAAATCAAATTCAAGAACAAAGAAGGAAAATAATGCACCGTAACCCATGACCAGATTGTTTCCATCCTAGGCATGAAAGGGTGGGTCAACGTATACAGATAAAGATGTAATAAAGCACATGAATTATGTAAGGGCAGATATCTTACAGCCATCAATAGATGCAAAAGAGGCCTTTGACAAAGTCCATGCCCCTTCATAAAGGAATCCCTGAATTAACTACAAATAGGAGGAACATACTTAGGATAACAAAGGCTACATATCACAAGCCTATAGCCAACATTACACTAAATTCTCTAAAATCAGGAACAGGACAAGTTTTCTCACACTTTCCATTCATACTCAGTATGTTTTCTAACTTAACTAGAGAAATAAGGCAAGAGAAAGAAAGAAAGAGGTAGAGAGAGAGAGAGAGAGAGAGAGAGAGAGAGAGAGAGAAGAAAGGGAATAAAAATTAAAAAAATAAAATGACCTCTATGTACAGATAACATGATCCTAAACTAGAGGGACCATAAAGACACCTTAGAAAACTCTTCCAGCTGGTAATGGCTTTCTGCCTTGAGGAAGGATATAAATCTACACAGAAATCCACAGTCCTATGCACCCCTAACTTGCCAAGAAATAAATAAGGGGGAAGCTCCATTCATAATTTAGCTTCCTTCCTCATCAGAGGAGCAAAAGATGTCTACAATGAAATAAGACACTGATTAAAGAAATTGAGCCGGGAGGTGGTGGCACACGCCTTTAATTCCAGCACTTGGGAGGCAGAGGCAGGCAGATCTCTGTGAGTTCGAGACTAGCCTGGTCTACAGAGCGAGTTCCAGGATAGCCTCCAAAGCTACAGAGAAACCCTGTCTCAGAAAAAAGAAAAGAAACTGAAACACACTAGAAGATGAAAAGACCCCAACACTCATGGATTGGCAGGATATCATGAAAATAGCTATATTACAAAAAGTTATCTACAAATTCAATGCAATTGCCATAAAACTCAAATGGCATTGTTCACAGAGACAGAAAAACATTCTAAAATTCATATAGAAGCATAAAATACCCCCTTAAGTCAAGAGCAATCCTGGACAGAGTAAGCAATACTGAAGGTATCACAACACATAATCTCAAAATATACCATGAAGCCATAGTAACAAAAAAAGCATAGTGATGACACAATATCAGACTGAAGGAATTTAATAGAGTAACCAGAAATGAACACACATAACTGAGACCATCAGACTGAAGGAATTTAATAGAGTAACCAGAAATGAACACACATAACTGAGACCATCTGACCTTTTACAAGATGTCAAGAAGATACATTGGTAAAATGACATTCTCTTCAATAATGGTGCTGGGAAAACTGAATATCCACATATAAAAGGAAGAAACAAGATTTACATCTTTTTTCCAGACAAAAATAAATTCAAAATAAACCAAAGACCTTACTATAAAACCTGAAACTCTGAAATTGATAAGAAAGACAAAACACTTCAGAATATAGACATAGGCAAGGACTTTATAGAAAAGACTGCAATAGCACAGAAAACAGTCTCAAGAATTATCAATGAGATTAAATTAAAAAGCTTTTTGCACAGAGACAGAAACTATCAAAGTGAAGAGACAACACACAAAACAAGAAAACAGTATTTGTCAAATATATACACAACAAGGCATTACTTTCTAGACTCCAAAAGACCTCCTAAAAGCTAAATATCCCAAAATCAAATCATCAAGTGGATAAATGGAATGAACTGAATAGACGCTTCTAAATGAAGGAATATAAGTGGCCAATAAATACTTGAAAGAACATTCAGCATCCTCAGCCATTAGCAAAATGCAAATTAAAGCCACCTGGAAATTCCATCACAGTCAAGTTATCAAGAAAATAAATAACAACACATGCTGGTGAGGAGGTGGGAAAAATCAGAACCCTTATTCATTGTTGGTGGGAGTATAAATGGGTTCAGACATTATGGAATTAATATGGAGGCCCTTCCAAAAACAAAACTGGAACTACCATAGGATGCAGGTATACTACTTCTAGATGTATACATAAAAGACTCTAAGTCAGCTTACTAGCTATGTTTAATGCCACACTATTCACAACAGCAGAGTTCTGAAACCAATCTAGATATCCATCAACAGATGAATCGACCAAAAAAAAAATGTGGGGTATATACATAATGGAAATTTACTAAGCTATAAAAACAACAACAGCAAAAACTGCAACCATGGCATTTTTAGGAAGATAACAGACCTAGAGGTCATTATGTTAAGCAAAAGAAGCTAGACAAAAATATAGCAGAATTTAGATAGAAATCTACAGGTATATGTTTATATATGAATGCGTGCGTACATACACACATATATGACTGGAAATAGAAGAGACTATGAGACAGGAAGAGCTCTGAAGGAGCTGCCTTATTTCTAATATGCACATGGTGAAGATTATTAATCAACCTTCCAAGCAATTCCCATACAGAGCCAAATGAAAGCCCATGGGCAGAAGAAGCTGGGCTGCAGCCCAGAGCCCCACAGATCATGAAAGGCCTTCTGCATCTTCAGGGAGCCATGAGAGCAAGTGTACTGTGGCTTCAGGTTCATATACACCACCCAGGAGACCATGTCCATAACCGGATACATGCCTTCTCCACAGAACAGCCAAAAGAGGTTAGCCAAGTTTCGCTTTCTCTCAGAAATACCAAGACACTCTGTCAAGAGGAAAGAAACAGGATCCATCTGTCTGCCTGAACCTCAGTCAGTGAGCACTCAGACGATGTGGAGCAAAGATTACCTCAGCCAGTGATGGTGTGCACACCTGTGATCCCAGTACTCACATGGCTGAAGCAGAAGACTGAGTCTGGGTCTAGCCTGAGCTACATAGTGAGAGTCTGTCTGGGAAAAAAATGACAAAAAGAAGAAGCATTCCAAAGCCATATTTCAAAGCCACAATCACCACATTACCACCACTCTTCTAAGAAAGCAAGCAGTGCCTGCTCTTTCTCTGCCATGTTGGTTTAGACTCTTGATTTGGCCCCAGGCCAGGCAATTGGTTTGTTCATGAGGTTGTGCACGTGTCCTAAGGGACATATGTCTCAATACACCATCTGCATTGTTTCTTCAGCACTAAGGTCACTAGAGCAGGGGCGTGCTTGACTACAGCTACACAGACATACATGAAGCCATTCCAGAGCAGAAGAAGCTGAGAATTCAACAGCCTACCCACTGTGTCACTTCCAGGAGAAACTTGCTGGAAGACTGTTAGGTTTACAACACACTGGTTTGAAGAAGGGAGTTCTGCTTATAAAGGAATTGAAATCTTTTCTCTGCATTCTAAAATGGGTGTATCAAAAAGCCATGGTCTTCTTATGACTGAAATTCTCATGCTGCCTTGCTAGAGAACAAGCTATTCCTAAGTCCACACGACTTCAAAGTATTCAAAGTGCTTCATTATAATTAGCCTAGCAAAGGGACATGGCCTTGAAGGAAGAGGAAAACAAGAAACGAGATAACTACTAAGAATACAGTGCAGGGAGAGTAAACCAACCCCCTTCCAGGCCAGCTTGTATGACAACAGAACAACTCCTAATGATGAGCTGACACACCAACTTAACCTTGAAGTTAAGATGACTTTGGAGAATGGGAGATGAGGAGGTAGTGGCCATGATAGGCACAGGGGATATTTATTTATAAGACCTTTTATCTGTTCACCCCGGGCTAACCCTCAAGGGCTGCCCTACCTCCCTGACACAATGACAAAGCAGCCAGCCAGTTTCTGTGTCAGATGGATTCTGATGACAATATTCTACTGTGTGGTTTTGTACTTTGCCTGTCCACTGCAGATAACAAAACACTACACCTATATAAGACCAGAGAATACAGTGAAATGAAATACCATACATGCAGGATAAAGTCAGTATGCAGCTTGCTGACCTGATTCTCAAAGTCATGAATTCTTTCGGAGAGTAAGTGAATGTCTGGATTAGAGATTCTGCACAAAGATGGAGACCCAGTCAGATCATCAGGTCCACAAACACATGGTTTCAAGCAGGTCTACCTACGAGCAAAATCTCCAATGGGGATGCTCACTAGGCACAGTGAAGGAAGGAAACCTGGCCCTGGATTCAGCTTTAGCACGAGGCAACCGATAGTCTCTGAAAGGCAGAGTCTTTTCACCTTTGGTTCTGAGGATTCTGATGCAGGTTTTCAAAGTGGCAGAGTCTTTTCACCTTTGGTTCTGAGGATTCTGATGCAGGTTTTCAAAGTGGCAGAATCTTTTCACCTTTGGTTCTGAGGATTCTGGTGCAGGTTTTCAAAGTGTAAAGACACTCACAAGATAGAGAACCCTTTTTAAAGCTATTACAAGGTATCTTATGTTTATCAGTAAAGACACTGTTTCTCATCTGCTCAGACTCCTTTAATAACAATTTCCCTCATAGCTGTGCTTAGGAGGATCTATACATCTGCTAACACTGTCCCTGTGACCCCACCTTCCTACAACTGGTAGCCTCGGGCCTTCCCTCACAATGCCACTGAACTGTCCCACGAACACTGAGCATTCTCTGGCCCATGGTCTTTGCAATGATGGCTCTTTCTGCTTGAAATGGCCCCCATACCCTACACGGCTCACCCCTTCCTCTTCTTTCCAGTAGAGATGCAAGCTCTCTGGTTCTTTCCATCTTGTTCTGTGCTGTTTTCTATACCCCTAGCAATGTCAGCAAACCATATACTTTACCAGTGTTCTGTGTTTCTTGCTTCTCATGTACATATACTAGAATATTTGTTTTCTTTACCAGTTTGCCATAATGCACTCAGAAGAGGGGCTGGTGCAAGCTCTGAGATCATTACTTGGCAGCATGAGCAGCAGCAGTGTCATAGTCCAGGTTTACCACCAGTTTTCATTATATCATGAGAAAGTTCCAGATTACTCACCCATTTGAACCTTTCTCCACCACCTGTTAATCTTACCTTTCCCCTTATGTCTTTATCTAATTGTTTTTTTAACTTGCGAAGTTGCATGATCATTACCACAAATCTCCTTAGCATGACAGAAGGGCACAGGCTTAGCGTCTTCTCTCTATAAGGGTGCCTGCAGATGAGTCCAAGGACTGCTCTGTCTTCAGTGAATATGGTCATCTACTTTATACTTGCTTTTGACTAATTATAGAAGATGCCACTTAGCAGTCCAAAGTTTCTTTTTTAATAAGTCACTTATGCAAAAAAGTTGAAAAAAGCTAAACAGTTAACATACAAAGTTTGGATATGTGAGAATTGAGACATCTTAGGATGTGCTCTGACCTCACGATGCAGACCCCCTGAGCTCACAGACTACAGAAAAGTAGCTATTCTCACATACATAAGGTACAGCATTACCACTTACTGCTAGGTGGGCAACCATTCTCCCCAAGTCCCATTATTTCTGCCAGTCTTCAAGGAAGCCACTGACTGCCCATGCTGCAGTCCCTCTGCAAGGATGTTTATATTAGGAAAACCCATGGGTGTGGGTGGTAAAGCCAGTGTCTTCCTGCAGAAGTTAGGGCAAAGCTACTCATAGACTTGGAAGATGATTCCAATCTAATAGAAAAGTCAATTCCCTTGTCTCAAGGTTCTACTCATATAATGTAACCCTTCTGGTGCCACGCTTCCCTGCCCATTGTGTATTTCCTGTGGGAACCATCTCAAAGAAAGCAACGGTCTGAATGTTGGTGCCCTTTGCACCCCAGTTCTTATGGTGAAATCCTAACCACCACAAAGTGACAGCTCGCCTGGGAGGTTAACTGAGCCGAGGGCAGAACTCAATGCAGATAGAAAGGAGGCCCAATGAGGCTTTGTTCCTTCCACGGTACAAAGACACAATGAGAAGGTACCATGATGAATCCAGAAAACAGTTCCTAACCAGACACCCAAAATGCCAGTGCCTTGTTCTTGGGCTTCTCAGTCCAGACTAAGAGGATAAATTCCTGCTGTGTGGTTGTCCTGTTTTGTTAGCACTAACATGTTGGCTCTGACTACTGTGATTGTTGATGGAAGCTGCCCTCTCCTCTGACTCCAATATCCTGTGTTAGACCCTCTTGAAGCTGCAAGCAGGGGCGCATCCCAGACCTAGCAACTTCTTGGCCATCCTTACCTCATTGTGAATATCTTCTCCTTTTTTCAAAACTGCAGGTTCCAAGGACTTCAGAGAGACGTCACCATTGTCCAAGTCATTGAGGACATTCTGCAGCGCCAACTGGCAGCGTTGTAAAATATAATCCAAGGTGCCTGTCGAGCACTACCAAGACAGAAAGACAGCAAGCCTGTGAGTGACTCCAAGCTCACCATGCCCTCTTCCTGCTCACATTTGCGTCTGCTCTGTGTACTCAACTACCATCCACACATCGAATGCTTCCTAGATGAGAATTATAGTGTGGCCTGCCCCCTTGATTCTGGGTCGCCAGCCAGGCCTCACTAGGTCCCACAGGCTGTGGGCTATCTTCACAATGTAGGACTCCTCTCTCTAAATAACATGCACCTTGAGGTGAATGCCAACACCTCATGTATGTGTATACATTCTATATATACACTATATCACGTTAAACTGACTCTTAAATGTAGAAGGAATGTAATAAACAATAATTCAGGAATCACCAGTTAGCAAAAGTGTCAAAGATAACAATTTTTGTCCTGGGTCATAATGCATCAATAGGGGAGAATGGTAGGCAAACTAGACAATTTGTTGCAAAGCACATAAACTAGAACAGCAATAATGTGTGTTTATGTGTGTGTGGGGGGTGTGACATTACAACCTCAAGGCAAAGAATTTCTTCCCTTTTCTACATATAGGAAAAAGCTGCAATCCTTCCTAGGACAGGTTCTAGGAAAACTAAGGGGCTTAGACTGCAAAGCACACTCAAGGCAAAGCTGAGACCTCATTATCAGTGAGGATGGAGACAGCTAGCTCACTGCTCTCTAGGCCTGTGGAAGTGTGAAAGAGGTCAAATGGACACACTCCTTTAAAGGAGCACATGTCGGAAAAGCCAAGGATACAGATGGAGTATGAATTCATTTATTTTGATAATGAAATGATTTCCTAGAATGATAAGAAGACACATATCCTTTGGCTGTCTGAGGAAAATGTGTCCTTAAAATATTTTTCTTTTAATATTTATAATTTAAAACAAGCACATGGGGGACTGGAAAGATGGCTCAGAGGTTAAGAGCACTGGCTGCTCTTCCAGAGGTCCTGAGTTCAAGTCCCAGCAACCACATGATGGCTCACAACCATCTGTAATGAGAGATGGTGCCTTCTTCTGGTGTGCAGGCAGAACACTGTCCACATAATAAATAAATCTTTAAAAAAAAAAGAAAAAGAAAAGCAAGCATGTGGAAAAACCCTTGCAAGCAAGTCTCGTGGTATAGAAACCATCATTGCCTCTTTATGCAACATGGCATAGACAAGCCTGGGAAACACAAAGTTTTTGTGTCCACAACAGAAGCTTGGCTAATATGTATTTTAATATGGTGACTGCAGAGTGCAGAATGCATGAGGGTGGGCAGCACTGAAGAGGGGTGATCCCCTCCTCGCAAAGCGCCCCAGTACCTACTTCTAAGTAGCAACCCCAAGGATGGCATTCTACTTTCATTTCTGCTTCCTAAGTATGGAGTGAGGCCAAGCAAGGGCATGCCCATTTACTCCACCTGAGAACTGGGGTAACCTACACTCTCCGTCAGTGTGGAGCCAACTGATGAACTAAGCCTGCCCAAGCCTAACTTTACTGATGACCACAAAAAAGAAATGAGGGACTTGGTCTTTCTAACTTTACATATAACTGGTATAAAGAACTTAGGAGGGGGCCTGCAATTTTTGAGGTTTTATTCCATTTTTGGTCATAGCTTATTTGAAATCATTACTGAAATTTAATTCACATCATGAAATACAGTTATTCAAAGCAACAATTAGGCATTTTTTCCAGTATATTTTGAGTTGTACCACCGTCTCTACAATTAACTCCAGGATATTCTGTTACTAAACTCTTGCCATTAGTGTCATTTCCACCTGCACTAACTTGCATTGTGCTGAAAGGAAACGATGCTGAAGTCACACACCCACAAACACACATGCGAACATGCACACACGCACACACACACGCACACGCACACACACACCTGCCTATCTTCAGGTCATTAAAAACACTGGCTGAATGTGGTCTTTTGTGTCTGCTTTTTACACTAGTATGTCTCTATGGTTCATCCCTGTTGAAGTGTGCATCCATATTTCAACATTATCCATATTTCAACATTACTTATTGTCCAACAGTAGTCAATTATATGGATATGTGATGAGCATCTATGCTGTGTCCAGTTTTAGGCTATTATGGGCATTCATAAACAAGTTTTCATTTCCCTTGACCATATTTCCAGGTACAGGACTGCTATGCCATCGAGTGCCAGTAGCATTCTGAAATGCCAGACTACACCAAAGTCACTACAGAATTCCTTCCAGCAGAACAGACTGAGACCTTGTCTCTGCATAGCCTTGCCAACATTCATTGCCTTCATTTGACTCTCGCCATCCTAGTGTGTGAGAAAGGTATCTAACTGTAGTTTTTACTGGTAATGCTCTGATGACTAATGTTGATATACATTTTTTTGTTTCTTTCTTTGTTTTGTTTAAGTACTGGGGAGGGAATCAAGCAGATATTTTACCACCAAACCACGCTCTCAGCTATCTTGTGCATTTTTCATGTGTTCTTAGCTATTTTTATACCTTCACTGGCACATGCCTATGTATCTCATTCACCGTGTTAAACAAAATCACTTCTCTTTCGAATTAATGACTATTAAAGACTCTTTTTATATTCTAATTATACTTATTAGATACACAGCTTGTTAATAGTTTCTTCCATTCTGTTTTTACTTTGTTGACACTTCACTTTGAAGTACAAACAATTTTTAACTTTGTGATGAAGTTCTTGCTTTCTATTTCTTTCTTGGGTTATTTATGCTTTAACTGTCATATCTGAAAACCCAAGGCCCATGTGAAGATACGAATCACTTTTTGGTAGGTAATTGTCAGTAAGGTGTCTGAGACAAAGCAAAAGATATAGAAAGGGGTACAGGGAAGGCTGTTAACACACACATGTGTTAACATGTGTGCCTGTTTCCTAGACTGATACATATTATCACTGAAATGGAAACACAAACTTGATAACATGTGGCAGTCTCTATGAAGGCAGAACTAGTTTTTCTAAGGAAAAAAAGAGAGAATATATAACTTTATTATATATATATATATATATGAACTGGCTGAATAACTATTTAAAAAATAATTATATATAAGGTTTAAGTTTATAGAAAACACTCTTGAATCTCCAGAACATTCTGGAAATAAAACTAAAATCAAATAAAAAGAGTCAATAGTAACAGTTCTGCTCACATACAACCAATTTCTCCACACACACACCTCTGTCCCACTAACTGCTAGGAATAACACAGTGCAATTTCCACAAGACAATCTGCTTCCTACTAGTGCAACAGTCAATCATCTTGGGGATGGAGCACAGGTAAATCATAACACAAGTATGTGTGAAGATGAGGCAACCCTGGAAAATGTGAGGGTTGAAAAGGCGAAGTAATTTCTTTTCCCTCTTCTACTGAGAGAAACAAGACTGCATTGCAGTTTGAAAAGCAAGTTTTCCCCATCTTTGACCAGTGGAAACAACAACAAAAGAGGAAATGAAACATTTTAAATAAGATACAAACATTCTGTCACCTGAACCTATGCCTAGTTTTGAGTTTCCATCTCAGCATCAACAGAAGCATGCAATGGTTTTCATTACATACACACAGATAAGGATTCAAAATGACCACTCCCAGTACTGCTGGGTCGATTTCATTAACTCATCAGAGGCATCAAGGATCTGCCTAGCTTTCCCTATTGTCTGTGCTAGATAAGCATCCGTATCAATTCTCTGTTACTGAATTAGCTCCCAAGTTTGATACCCAAATGTACTGTTAGGAGACTGAAGAATTGGAGTTTTGCTGTGGCACTGTGCACATGAGGAGCTCCAAAGACTAAACCCACAAGATGTGCAGAAATATACAACTTCAGGATAACGTTATCAGTACTGAATTCTATCAGTTTTTACTTCAGTAGTCATGTTTTTCTGGAAACAAAGTTTCACTAAAATAGTGATTTTTAAAGATTATTTTTAATTTTTCGATGCTTGCCTACCCAAAATCCTATATACTCAGAATCATGTATAGTAAGACTAGTAGTGTTTATTTTAAAACTAGTCACTAAATATTTTGCACTTATAAACCACAAGTATTCAGCTATATCACAGAAAGGCCAAAACAGCAGTAAACAGTATATAAACAAATTGAGTGTAGCTGTGTTCCAATAAAACTTTATTCATGAGAGGAGCCCACTGGTCCGGTCATTTACTGACTGATAAATATAATACAGAAAGGGCATTTATGTAAATAATATTACAGGTATCCAATTATTAAAATATCATGCAGTTTGAACCAAACCATAGAGAATATAGAATCATAGACTGGTGGTAATTATTTCTTTCTGAATGGTCTCACATATCCCAGGCAGGACCCAAACTTCCTCTGTCACCAAGGATGATCTTGAACTTCCTCTTTTTTTTTGTATTTTTATTTTTAAATTTAAATTAGAAACAAGGTTGCTTCACATGTCAATCCCAGGTCCCTCTCCCTTTTCCTCCCCTGTTCCCACGCCCTCCCACCAGCCCCTCCAATATCCCCTCATTTCCCCAGGGAGGGTGAGGCCCTCCATGGGGGTGTCCATAGTCTGTCATTTCATCCAGGGCAGGGCCTAGACCCTCCCCCAAGAGTCCAGGGTGAAAGTGCATCTCTCATTGTTGGATGGGCATCCAAAGTCCATTTGTATGCCAGGGATAAATACTGATCTACTACCCAAGGCCCAATAGATTGCCTAAGCCTCCTCACTGACACCCACATTCAGGGGCTCTTGATCAGTCCTATGCTGGATTCCCAGCCATCAGTCTGGGATTCAAGAGCTAAACCCTTGTCAGGTCAGCTGTTTCTGGGGGTTAAACCAGCCCAGTCTTAACACCTTTGCTCATCAGTCCTCCCTCTCTATCACTGGGTTCCTTGAGTTAAGCTCAGTGTTTAGCTGTAGGAGTCTGCCTCTTCTTCCATCAGCCATGGATGAAGGTTCTGTTTCCCAGACTCTCTGCCATGGGATTGTAGGCTGGAACTCCCCAGATCTATGTTTAAAATCCATATATGAGAGAGTAC